GATGGTTTGCCATGCTGCACTACAAACCCAGACCCTATGCTGTTTTGAGATCAAAATGAGCTTCTTTCATTACATTAGTGACAAATGAAACATAATGTACCAAGGCTTCCCAAGATTTAGCTGTTCCTAGATCTTTTCCCTCTTAGTACTGTGAAACTTAAAACCTAAGCCACTCTATTCCAAGTGCCACATATCTTTTGTCTCTACTGACTGGAAGTTACCTGCCTCACTAAGACATTACAGGCAAGGTGAGCGTGGTTGTACACACACAGACACGTGTGCAGTGGGAAAGAGGGCAGGAGAAAGGGTGAATTAATCAACTAACTAATCATCTAGTCCTGCTGGCACAAAAAATCAAACTCTTCCCTTTAGCAATACAAGGTATTCTGTCCTTTGGGTAGTGAGGGGAGTCAGTCAGCATGACACAAAAGTTTTGATGTTAAATTTGCAGTTAGTTATAACTTTCTTTCAAAAAGAAGAATAAAACATAGCAGGATAAATCTTAACGTCAAGTACACTCATGCAAAATGGCAACCATTTAACGGCAACAATGCTTTTTTTAGCACTGAAGGCCATAAAAAGACCTGAGGCCAAAAGCTGAAGGCAGACAAATTCTAATCTGAAATACAGAACAACTATTTAGCAGCAAGGTAGCTAAAACTTGAAAACACTGTCAAGGCAAACCAGGAACTCACATTCTTGATGTCTTCAAATAAAAGCAAATGCCTTTCTAGAAGACATGATTCAGTGTAAGGTAAGTTACCAGGTACCCGAAGGAAACATGTATGATATATAGGAGGCCAGTTTGGAATAACTGCTGATTCCACCCATCTTTAAACCCTATGAAACTGAAAATAAATCATTACTCAAACACATGTCCTAGCTTGCTAGTGTTACTTGCCTTATGTTTTCAGTGCTTCTCAGCTCTTTCAGACGAGCAACGTTAATCACTTGGTTAAAGCACTCAGTGAAAAGTCCCAGTAGGCTCTCCAATTGGCAACCAGCCACCGTTCCTTGTCTTCTTTTGCATCATTGTGCTTTCGGTAACAGAGAGCATTTACTTAGGTAAGATGGAATGAGACTTACTTCCACACACAGCTGAGCTACCAGTTGCTACTGGCTGGGCTCTGTTGCTAGCTTGTATTTATGCCCCAGAATGCTGCTGCTTCTAAAACTAGACTCAGACAATTGCCCACAGAATACAGCTTAACACTGACATCAGCTTATTCAGCCTATCTTCTTTTTGGATATGTATGTGCATGGCTAAGTGGCATCTTCTACTTCAGCTGGCCTAAGCCAGTATGTGCTATGTTTGGCTTCAATGAAACTACAACTAGGCAAGAACAGCCCAGAATCTGTTCTGACTGATACACTAAGAACAGAATTACCAGCTAATAATTTCCAATCCAAACCAGAAATTTTATCACGGCCAATGAGAAAAACCATCTTGTAACTTGCACCCTTAATCAGGTAGACCTGGAACTTTTTTACTGTTAGTTACTCTTTTTGACAGTATCACTTCATTCACTTTAACTAGTATCTTGACTTAGGGAAGCAACAGCAAGTCCTTAAACAGAATACACAAGCAGAAAGTAAAACTTTCAATATTTTGTGGTGCTTAGATTAAGGCTTCTGCTCCTCCTTTTAAGATCTCTGCAAATAGAGATCTGCTGTCAGGCTGGATTTTGCAATCACAGTTCAGATTCACCAGAGTCACACTGTACAGCATGGCAATATACTACATGACATTGTATTGCAATGTAAAGGCACCTGAGACTTTTTCTGGGGTTGCACTCCACCCCCTCTACCACATGGAGCATACTGAAGCAATGAAAGAAGGAGGCTGAAGGTTGACTTTCCTTGCTAAATCTCTGATGGGCAAATCTTGCTTTCCAAACATCAAATTTCATTTCTCTAGTCTGCAAGTGGAAATAAAAGAATGAACGAATAACTGGATTCTTTTCATCCCTAAACATTTCAAGTTTATAAAAGCAAAGAAGTTTTCTCTGTAGCACCCTTGGGCAGCCTGGAGCTCTCCTCCAACAGTGTAAGAGAAGCAGTTCTGCCTTCACTAGGGTCTCCTCTGAACACTTCTGCGCTTGCACTGAGGCCATGAGATGCAAAGATACCAGGGAAACAGAGCAGCGATTTACATTGACAAAGAGGATTTTGATACACTCCTCCAAATGGGGCAGCATTACCATCTTAATAGCCTTTTGCTCTCAGCCCTCTTCCTGAGGACGCTGGAGATTTTTGCGAATGGAGAACAGTTCCGCTTCCCATTTTAACTGCAACAATAGCAGAAGGGCTCCTTAAACTGCATCAAATAGCAGCCTGTGAAATCCCTAACTAGCCGCACTGCCTCTCCCGCCGTTTTATTATCCTCCGGCCCACAGAACAAAAGCAGGGGGGAGCTCCTCCTCATTTTTAGCCTATTCCACACATCCTAATCCCTCAGAGGTGGCAATGGAAATTGCTTGTGGAACTGTTAAATCACACTTTCACTTTGTCTTTCATTCCCCATTCACCCTTGCTAATCAAGGAGTTTCCAGCCACATTTTCCGATATCAATTTGTTTATGGCCTATTGGTTAATGGTCCCGGGATGGGACCCCCTGAGTAAGAAGAAAGAATCCTGGGCATTTCAGCCAGCTGCTGCTTCTCGCCAGTTCCCACACCCATCCACTTGTTCCCGTCAGCCGCCCTGAATGTGCTCACCTCCTGACACCAACTGAATTAAACAACAAAGCCTGAATGGGAAAGCTGCCTTTGCAATCAGGCTGTGGGACAGGTTCCACTTGCTAGTGCTATATGATGTCCCTCAAGCAGCAACACACTCCCTCACTGGCTGACCCGCAGCCAGTTGCCTCACTGACATCTTACCTTGCGTCCAGCTTCCCTTTGGAAAGAAGCACCAGCTACAACTCTCCTAAAAACTTGAGCTTCTCTTTCATGAGGCAGCCTGGTGCCACTTTCTGCATCTTATCCAAAACAGCCATTTCCAGGTGATTTGCTCACTTTCTCTTTCCACAGAAATAATGATCATTGAAATGTGGGATCAGAACATGCAATATTCACTTTGTACAACTCAGTGAGATGACTCACGTGTAAGTGCTTACAAGTCTCTGTAAAATAGTCTGGGGCACATTATCAGGGGGAGCATGCCCATGGGTTACTACCCATCTTGGAGAAAAATACCTAAATGGAAACATAATGGTATAGTCAGAAAGTAAGAAAAGGCTCACACAAAAAGCTTCAAGCTGCCTTCCAAAATGTACAAATAATGCCTGGTATTCACACAGCATTTACTTAGAGAAATCCAAATTGTTATCTCGCCTGTTTTTAGAAAAATGGTGAACGATATTTTAAATGTGCACCCCAGAAACATATGGATACAGGGAAAAGAGCAATTACCACACACCTAATACAGTGCTGTCCTTCTATCAGAGAGTCTTGCTCTCCATCATTACATGTTACCAGGCCCATTTGTTCTTTAAAGGTAGGGTTCAGTCCTTGGAAAGCTATATACCTGGCTCACAGAAAATAATTGAAACAAATAAAGATCCCCTCTGAAAAAATACTTCCTGTTTCTGAAATGGGAAATCTTTCTTTCCCAAAGTTTCACTACCTTAGTGCCTGAGGACAGAGTAGGAAATAGTCTGCCTTTTTTTATAATGTCCAGAAACATCCTTGCAACTCAGAAGGTATTTGAGATAGAGAAGTAGCTTGTCTTCTGCCCTATACTGAATCAAAACATGCCTAGACTCAACTCTTGCAAGCCGTGTCAGTTTAAACTAATAAAAATTGTTTCTTGTTCCTGTAGCCTTTTTAAAACTACTCGTACAAAATAAAAGCAGATCAAATTCCCCAAATGCCATCTAATAATACAGTGGGTATAGTATCTCAAGGCTTAGGAAACACTGGATGGACCCCCACATTATCATTATGTAGATGTATCAAATGGAAGCAAAAATGCACCATAAAACATTTTTGTTTCTTTTGTTTTCCTACGTTATGTATCACCAGAGATGTAAGCTTATTTAGTCATTAGTAAATGTAAATATGTCGTTGGTCTAGTACAGCCAGAAATGGGCAATCAGAAGGAGAACTGTTCACATACCTTAAGATATTCATAGTGCTTTATGGGATCAGTGGTTCTCAGTCACTGGAGCCTGAGAAACAGCAATACTCACTTTTCTTAATGCCATGGCTCCCTATCAGAGTGTATCCTCTGAATAAAAAGTAACAGGCACTGACTAGTTTTATTTAGTCTGTTAAATTGATGCAGTAATCAGGAGCTGCATATCAACAGACAGCAACTCAACAAAATTGATCTATGAATGTCTGTCAAAAAGTAAGGATATTAAAGGAAGATTTACTGGGATGTATGGGGAGAAGAAGGGAAGAGCTGAACTTCCCTTTTTGCTGTGGTCTGAAAGTACGTGATTTAGGACATGGCCACAGGGAACCCTAGTTCCCTGCTATCATGGTAGTAATATCCAGCTTTTCAGTACACTACCTCATATCCTAGAGAATTTGAGGATTATTTAAGACCATGAGGCATTAGCATTAAAATGATCACAAAAATACAGAACAGATCTTAATGTCTTGTATCCTTAGTGATGTCAAGCTGTTTGCTAAAGAAGAACCATTTATTAGAGCATGTTAGCAATGATAGATGGGCATGTTTCTCCTGGAGAAGCCTATCTCATGAGCAATGTTGCCAGAACCATTCTACTTTACCCTGAAGGAAAACAGGGAGCCTTGATTAATAATTTCAAGGCCCATTCTTAGATCCACAGGAATATGCAACAACTAATTTTGTATAATCCAAAACAGTGAACGTAGCAGAAGGCTGCCCTTGTCAACCAGACTGTTAAAATGTGTGGGTTTTTAATTAGGTATAAACAACGCCATTTTCAACAATAGTTGCTGTTATCTACATTCAGTCTGCTTGAAATACTAATTGCAAAGACAAAACAATCAATGCTCTGGTCTTACCTTGAAGAACCAAGCCTGATTTCTCAATGGTGTAGAAAAAAGCAGAGAATGGAGCAACAGGGGATTTAGCAACCAGAAGCTGCAAAACAAACAAGTAACATAAAAGTACACATCTTTATAACATACTGATCAGAGCTCAGATCCATAGAATAATCTCACTGGATTTAATTTCCGGAAGTAGTATAGCATACTGCAGAAATAACAAGGTAGTTATTGATCTAGCCCTGTCACTTCTAAGTAGCTGAGGTCCCCTCGTATGCATGTAGAGATCATGCTGCAATTTTAAAAGGATTCACAGGTCCTAAAGAAACACTGTCATGAAAGCAGATAGGACACAATTCTGAGCAAAACTGCAACTGCTGTTGCATAACGCGATTTTAATCGCCATTAGCCATTCCACAGATGCGCCCCCTTGGCTTCTCTAAGAACTCCACCCGCTATCTTTCTTCTGCCCTTGGAAGCAGTGTGGTCCAACCATGGGTCACCACTCCAGGCACAGTAACATGCCATTGCAATTATCTGGATGTCCTCTTTCGCAAAAGGGGTAATGACTGAGTCAAGCTTTATTTAAGGATCCTGTCCTTGGAGTTTCAAAATAGGAACTGGAATTCCCTCAGGGTATATAGCGCAATTGAATTTAGCTCAGCATTCGGGTGTGCTGGCCCGCCACGGTCAGGCTAGAAATATCCCAAGCTCTCTGGCTCCACTATGGAGGAACCATCCTCTGTGGAAGATGAGCTGCAGCACAGCTCTGGAGACAAAGGAGTGGGTTTGTTGGTGTCATGGTTTAACCCCAGCCGGCAACTAAGCACCACACAGCCGCTCGCTTGCTCGCTCTTCCCCCCACCCCCGTCATGGGGTGGGGGAGAGAATTGGAAGAGTAAAAGTGAGAATACTTGTGGGTTGAGATAAGAACATTTTAATAACTTAGATTATTAAATTGAAAGAAAAATGAAAAATTGTAACAAAAAGGAAAATAAAAAGAGAGAGAAACAAAACCCAAGAAAGACAAATGACGCAAATGAAAAACAAGTGCTCACCACCAACCAAACCATGTCCAGCCCAGCCCTGAGCAATGGCCCTGCCCTGGCCAAGTCCCCCCAGTTTCTATACTGAGGATGATATCATATGGTATGGAATATCCCTTTAGCCAGTTGGGGTCAGCTGTCCTTCTCGGTCGGGAGAGCACAAGAAGCTGAGATGTCCTCGTGTAGTAGTGTAAAACACTACTTAGCAACAACTGAAACATCAGTGGGTTACCAATATTATTCTCATCCTAAATCTGAAACACGGCACTCCAGCTGCTAGGAGGAAAATTAACTCTATCCCAGCCAAAGTCAGGACAGTCAGCAGGGTAGGGAACGTGGGATCTGCAGCGGCAAACTCACACAAATGTGCCAGGCTTTATTGCTTGGCTGTTTGATTTTTACTCATTGCCAAGGACCTCTCCCTCACAGCCTGCCTCAAAATAACCCCCATTCTGTCACCTGCATGAAAGTGACATTTTAATGATAAATTTAGTAAGTTCTGCCCAGAGCGTGTTCAGCACAAACGCTGATCCAATGGTCCCCATGTGGGACCCACAGAAGACACTGGCAGCCGTGGCTGGAGCGAAGAGCGTGCTGCTGCTCTGTCTCTGGCGCGGAGCTGCTGAACAGAGCTAGAATGCCTCTCCCTGCTCACCTCTTCAACAGCTAGAAAAGGCTGGGAACGGGAAACCAGCCTTCCCAGTGGCGGCCCTGCACCATGGAAGAGCCTTCCCACCTTCCCTGCCCCCTGTGGGCACGGTTTGGGCAGGCAGCTCCCCCTTAGCCAGCGCAGCAGCCAACAGATGCTGCTGATTTCAAATGGAGTTACAAAACCCCCTGTTATTTCGAAAGGTCATGCCCTAATTCTGCCAAACATTCAAGCATAGGGTATGGCAGAACCCAGGCCACGACTGCTGGGCAGGCAGGGCAGGCCCACTGACTTCCCTCCCTTTCGTCTCAGCCCTCGGTGAGGCCTGCCTTGCAGCGTGCTGCGGGACTGTTGCTCACCTCGGGGCCTACATTTCCAAAGCCCTGTCAGATACCGCACCCTCTCAGCCCAAAGCAGGCAGCCCTCTGTCGGATACCTCCAAATACGACTTCTTACATGTGCAGACAGAAACAATCTGATTTTTAGAGGTGTGGGGCACCAACAGATGCTGCTGATTTCAAATGGAGTTACAACCCCCCCCGTTATTTCCAAAGGTCATGCCCTAATTCTGCCAAACATTCAAGCATAGGGTCATGGCATATGAATTTCGGTTGGTGGTGCTTAACGATCAGCAGGGAAACGACGAGCAGGTTTTATGAAAGCCGTGAGAGACTACAGAAAAATGAGGAGGTTCATGCTCACCAAAACTGCTCACATTTCACTGAAAAGTCAGACAATATTGAATCACTTCATAGATATACAGGACTGGGACGTTTATTCCTAAGTGTAAGGTTAACAATACCAAGCACCAGCAGTTTCAGCTCTGCAGTGTCCTCGTGTAACCAGAAGATTTGGCAGCAAATTCTGCTGCAGAATCAGGCTTGTGTGACTTCCCTGGAGCACTTTAAATGGTAAGGGTCTCCGTATAGTAGGTAGGTTTCATTTTCTATGTGTATGCAGTCTGCAAACAGGACCGTGCTTAGATGTCTCGCAAATCTTTCTCATCTGATTCTGATACAGGCTGAAAAAACAAAATCCTTGTATCTGGTTCTCCAAACATAACCATTACTACCCCCAGCTACCTAACACTTTTATGGTTTTCAGAACTTAAACCAAACATAGTCTCCCTTCTTCAGACAGCAAAAAATAAAGTCAGGCACATAAAGACCGCAAATACAGCCGGAGAACATCAGACCAGTCCAAATGTCAATGTTTTCCTTCCAGTCATATGAAGCTGGCAAAACCACCTCAGGATGCGATACAACCTTTGAGAACTACAGCAAGCAGGAAAACTGCTGTGCTAGCACTTTCCCCTCTTCCATGTTAATTACTGTTCTCTCTGGAAAGAACTTCTGGAGAAAGGAGGGGCAGGTCACATCCCACGTCCGTGACGCACCTTGACAAAACCCAAATTCCCTTGCCTGTTGTTATCCCCAGAGCCAGTGCTTCCCACTGACGCAGCAGGAGGGGGACTCTGCCAGGAGGCAAGCAGAGTGCCTGCCGTCTCGGTGCTTCGCATGCTCCCTCCGCTCTGACAACAGGAGGGAGAGGATGGGGTGGAAAAACTGTGCAAATGCTCAGCTACAGAGTCTCCCACAACAGCTGGATGTTTAATCGGAAAGGCCCAAAGTGAAACAGTTACAAATCTGATGTCTAAGGTCAAATTTTTGGCATTCTGTGCAGTGCTATGCACATGAATACTAACCTATATATGCATGTGCACTAAACACAGCTGTACGTGCAAACAGATAGACATTCAAATAACCCTATGTACATTCTGTTACTACATTTTTATGCAGTTACAATATGTATATAACTAAGTATAGCAATGAAAAAATATAATAAATCACATCCTTTCAGCAGCGCATCACAGGGCCCCTCTAAAAGGCTGCTGCTGCTGCACAGTTACATCTGAGGCTCAGAATTAGCTTCCTTTTCAGCGAAATGGGAATAGCTCATAATATTCAAATGTATTGCTTTATCCCGAATGTTTGCTTACAAAGAAAAATAACCTTTAAAGTATGATTGCATATTTCACAACCAGATAGAGTACACAGAATCCTTTTTTATAACACCAAACTACATTAATTAAAAAAAAGTAAATATGTATTTAGATTTGTGTTTCAACCAAAGAGAAAAAACCATAAATGTCACTGCAAACCATCCTCTGGATGGAATAGCCAACACAGAGTAGGTTCTTATGCACACACAAGGACCTTAGAAAACATAGAAAACATACCGATCAAGGAAAGAAAATGATGTGGAAGTCTAAATTGAGGACTACCAAAATCAAGGAATCAAAGATGAAATCCATGCCTCACCAGAAATTTTGTCCTCCTGACACTTCAGTGCAGTCAAAGTTTCACCAAAAGGAGCACACATTTTGAGATGAGTAAACAGGAATGGTAAATAATAGTCTAAAGAAGTTAATAGGCATTCAGATTACAAATTTTTTTTTTTAAATGGTGAAATAAATAGCAAATAGACATAGAGAAATGATGAAAAGGCACTGAGTCTTTCTAATTCATCCCATCCATGATGCTTCTGGAATACTATCCATGAGCTACCCATGAGTTTCTGGAATGGAATATAAAATCCAGATGCAGTTATTCTTACGCTGCTTACTAAAGTGTGAATGATATAGATGGATGAGAGAAGTAAAAATCAAAGCTATTTTAAGTTTTGAGAAGTCCTAACTTTAAGAAATGGTCACATCTTAGTTTCCTTTCTTTCCTTTCTAGCATCACATTTCCCTGCCAGGAGGTTTGTAATAATTATTTATTATTGGACAACAATGTAGAATAAACATTAAACAACTGAAAAATTATTTCTGCCATGAGGCACGTTAAGTATCAAAGGTACTATGGAAGAGAAAATATATCACTGTGATGAAAAGTGAATAGCAACTGGATAGATGCCATTAGATTAGATAAAGGAAGATAAATGGGAGACAGGCAGAGCAGTAGCGAAACAAAAGGCTTACGGAGAATTGATGATGACAGCAGAAAAAACATACATTAAAGTTTGTTTTTTAATTAGGGAAAGCATTTTTATTAATACAGTGTATTGTTTATAAGCTTTACGGAAGAGATGAATCACAGAAATTGATTGCAGAAGCCCAGCAGAAAATACTAATTATTGGGACTACATCCCCTGTCAATAACAAAGAAAGCGATGAATTGGAAAATGTATTGGATGGACTTTCAGAAGTAGTCTGATAACCAGAAATCAAGGCAGTGTTCTGCCAAAAACAAGTAAAGAAGATGAAGGAGACAGAGTCTTATATCAAATTAGTTATCAAAATGCCGGGATGATAAACTACCAAGCGCTGAAATACAAAGATGATCTTGACTGAGCTGGGAGCTCTCACATAGTAACAAAAATACGATTTCGTAATGGAAA